GCTCTGATTGGAAGTGCCTCGAGAAATTTTCTTGCAATTAAATAAATCACAAAGGCAGTAATTGATGATCAGTTTAATTATTGTTATCACAAAAGCTGAGCATTAACTATGATTCATGATTTATGTGAGGACAAAGGTTGAGCTTCTTGGAGGCTGTCTTTCACCGAGGCTGATAATTATTTTCTCGCTGTAAGCCGGAAGTCTATCATTGGATAATAAAGATTCACGCTACAGGTTATTTCGGCGTATTTCCCTCAGTTGCTGCCCTGACATCAGGAACCAGAAATAAAGCTGATCGTGACAGGAAGACTTGATGATGGTGGAGTAAGCCAGTTTAATATTTATTTAGAATTTTTCTTCATTAACACCTAGGAACCGTCGGAACTCCAGGCTTAAAATGCAGTAAATACTTAGAAGCAAAGAAAACTCTACAAAAATTCATACTATCTTTAAAGAAAACGTTTCGGAGTCCAGCTCCATCGTCAGTTTGAAAATTCTAGAACATAGATAAATCAGTAATTAGTACAGTCAAATTACAAAAAAAACTAAGTGGTAAATAAGATCTGTTTACAATTTCCAGCGGGTATGAGCTAAAAGTTAAATTTAAACTTGGCCTCTGTTTAAAAATATACAATGATTCTAAAATGCGCAAATCAGAAACACCGGTAGTGGAAGCTAAAACCTTGAAGTCAACATCAGAACTTGGAACGTCGCACTGCTCGGCGTGGGCCCGCACAGCCGAATGAGGGGGGCGCGATAGTAAGTGACCAGTTCTACAACTTTTACCCTTATGTTCTGCGACCCTAGAATAAAGATTGCGAGACGTCATCCCGACGTACGCAGATGCACATTGTGCACAACAATATTTGTAAACTAGGGACGCTCGTATATACATTGGGAGGGTATCTTTGTACCTAAAACAAAACGATTTTAAAATTGTTGACCAATAAAACACGAGGATTAACAGTTGTGAAATACTTAGAAAACAAAAGTTTTAGCTCTCTTGTCATAGTTTCGGATGCAGGGCCGAAATATGGAAGAGAGCAATAAACAACATCCTTACTGTCGCGCTCGGGAGCAGCTTCATTTATTGTAACGCTTGGACATGAATTTCTTTATTTTGGGTGAACACCAGATTAGTCGGAAATTCACTAAGCGAAAAGATATTGCGTAAAAATTCGTATTCAGCGTGCAAAATATTGTAAGTGGAACAAATACGATAGCCCCGATGTAAAAGCGTTTGAATCCTATTAATATTGAATCGAAGCGAACAAAAGCTAAAAACTATCTATATCATACTATCTTTAAAGAAAACGCTTTAAAGATAGTATGAATTTTTGTGGAGTTTTCTTTGCCTTTAAGTTTTTAGTGAATTTGCGATTCAAGCAAACGAGTGACATTATAACTCCAGGAATAGTACTCCCTGCAGGAGTTTTAATGATAAATAAAAAAGCCCTTTTATGATCCCAAACATTAAGCATAAAGCCAGACAGCAAATCCAATAACTTTTTAAAGAACATGATGAAAACACTTGACACGCGAACAACAGTATGATTGAAAACAAACAATAATTATGCAATCGTGATAGGTAAGCCCTGTGTTCTTCTATTCGAAGCACAAATAAAACCTTCTCGCCGATTATATTTACCGTGAAATTTTTTATTTTCTAATCTGTACAACTAACTTCTCAATTTCAAAGCCTTTCTCTTTGGTGGCACCGCGAAACTTAGTCGTAAATTTAAAAGCATGCCATTACGTCAGAGGAGACTCAAAACCTAAATGGTAGTGATATGATACAACATACAGTAAACGTTTCGTTAGAATTCCTAATTTTTTGTATCAAATTCATGCATCATCTGTGTAGAACATTGCGGTTAAATTAACTAAGCTTCAATTGAAACCTAAACATCATTCAGATCAAGGTCTAAAAAAGTTTCAAAACCGCGAATAAGATTTTTTACACACGAAATGTTATAGTCACTAAGTCACCAATTCCGCGCACAGCTAGTCTCAGATTTCTTCCCAAGCTAGTGCGGTCATGACAGATCTTCGTCTGAAAACCAACCGTGCCAAGAGCAGCTTCTTGAGCAGCCCGGCAGTTCCCAACCAGGATCCGCTTTACGAGTTTTTTTTATTTATTTTGCGACTATTTCTTTGACGCAACCTCGCACTAACGAAGGCGAGCAGCAGCCTGACGCGCAGCGCGGTGATTGCACGCAGACGTAGAGGTAAACCTCGGTGTCTCAGAATCGTTTTCTCGAAATGAGCTCAGACGACGAGACGAGACAAGATCTGTCCTTAAAAAATATTAAGAGAAGGAAACGATTGTCCCACAATTAAATTTTAAATCGAGATTTAAAACTTTAACTCCACTCATTGTGAAGTTTATATTGCGGTCGAAGAAGTTACTTCATGAAATGTGTCCATGGTTAAAAATATTTTATTTTGCATCGTTAGACTGGTTCATTTTCTAAGAACAATACTTCAACCCCAGCATAAATTCCCTTGATCGGCAGCACTGATGCTCAGGTATAAAGCATTAATGTCATCAGCAAAATGCTGGAGCGCAACAGTACAGCTTCCGTCGCCTCATACATGCTGAGGTTTTTGCAAACCTATTTTAAGTATCCTGGATACCGAGTGAATTAAAGCATTGAATTGCCAGCTGTGAAATTGTGGAAGCCTTTCGAATGAATGGGGCAGCGTGGAGAAAACTCTCATCAAAGAGTATGGGATAAGTGAAATTTTTTTATGAACTGACATGTGTTTGATGATTGCTGTTTCATTTTGAACTAATAATCATTGATGAATGCTTATTTTGATGCGAGAAGAGAATTGGGTTTGTTGTTCAATCACTCATTGGCACAAAGCCATGTTATTCATGTTTGCGGCATCAATCGAATTTTTTTCCCTAATCAGAGCAGAATTTTTAAGATTAAAACGTCGAGAAATAGAAGAATCAAGCTGAGGCCTAATATTAAAATGAAATAAATTTTATCCAGAGTTCCCAAATTGTTTGGATTGCTTGAGATAGAAAACAAAACTATCACAATTTATCGTTGATTGAAAGCGTGGCATTTGTGTGAGATTTAAATCTGGTTTTAGCAAAATTTTAGTTGGGAATAATTGAGTCAAGCCAGTTTTATGCAAGATGAACGCGTTGAATTGGGAATTTTGACTCATGCAGCGCCTATATATGATTTTAATTGTTTTAATTTATATCTGAGTTGGTTCTTTCCAGCCACAGTAATTCTATTTACTCTATTAAGAGTCTGACTATAACTTGGTACGAGTAATTTTTTTATTTCAGTGGCGTGCACAAACGTCCGAAACATTAATTTCATTTCATTTTGTTCAATGATGAGATCCTTAAGTCGTAACTCGCAACAAATGTTGAGCCCATGATAGAACAGGTTACAGCGTCATCAAAGACTTTACTGAAAATTGTTTCGGTTGGTAAGTTTCGAAAAAAATCTGACTGGCGTCTGCCTTCTATTCCAATAAGGTACAGAAGCGCATGGAAGAACCCGTCATATATACAACTAGTACAACTAGCCGATTTTGAAACCTCTTCAAGTTCTGTTGAATTTCCATGTTGAAATGCTTCGGAAATTGTTTTTGACAAAATCGACGACACAGCTTCACGACAAAACAATTCACTGTGTATGCACTTCTTGCTGAGACGATCTAATGAACAAGGAGACCTCCTTTGATCTTGCTTTGCGCGGCCCTCAGCGTTACGTACGACTAGGAGTTGGCTAGCAAAAACAAGGTGGAAGATACGCAGAAGTGACTTTTAAAAATAAAATGGTAAAATATGCGTTCATCCTAGAATTGAATATATTGGGCATTATTTTAACTCTGTAAAAATTTTTCTTGGGGTCTCTAAACTTAAACTTTCTTTGTTACCTCGCGGTCAATATTGAAAGCCAAGATTTCCAAGACTTCTTGAACAACAATTTAAGCGAATATTCGGAAAAATCTGAAAGAGTTATGACCAATTCTAATAATAAAATTAACAAACGAATACAGTTACGTTGAAAATAAACGATGATATAATTGAATACAATATCGCGCTTTCTTAATGAATGCTAACCGTGATATTTTGATATAAAAAGATCGAAAGCTTCCTGTGCAAATTTTCTAAGATGCACAGACGCGATGCACGTAATCTTGCCAGGTGAAAGCAAATGTACTGCAGGCGGCGACTTCGTGAGCCATGAAGCACATGGCACACTTGAGCAGTGAAGCTTATGGCATAATTGAGTTGCGAAGCTCATGACACACTTCAGCAGTGAAGTGCATGACACACTTGAGCAGTGAAGCTTATGGCATACTTGAGTTGCGAAGCTCATGACACACTTCAGCAGTGAAGTNCACTTGAGCAGTGAAGCTTATGACACACTTGAGCAGTGAAGCTTATGACCTACTTGAGCATGCAGTGAAGCTTATGACACACTTGAGCAGTGAAGCGCATGACACACTTGAGCAGTGAAACGAATGACAAACTTGAGCAGTGAAGCTTATGACACACTTGAGCATGCAGTGAAGCTTATGACACACCTGAGCAGTGAAGCGCATGACACACTTGAGCAGTGAAGCTTATGACACACTTGAGAAGTGAAGCGCATGACACACTTGAGAAGTGAAGCGAATGACACACTTGAACAGTTAAGTGCATGACACGCTTCAGCAGTGAAGCGCATGGCACACTTGAGCAGTGAAACACATGGCACACTTGAGCAGTGAAGCACATGGCACACTTGAGCAGTGAAGCACATGGCACACTTGAGCAGTGAAGCACATGGCACACTTGAGCAGTGAAGCACATGGCACACTGGAGCAATTAAGCTCTCTCATTATATACTCGTAGTTGCTTCTATGTAGCTAATAGTTAATTAACATATCTGATAGTCATTTAAAATAGTGAGTGGATTAATTTCGTTTTTCTATGAAGTTATTCACAATTTCAAACCATGATTCGTGCTGCCATGACTCACCCTATAAGAAAATTGGTTGGTGACGTCATCGTCGTCGACTGTGAGGAGGCCGAGTGGGGCGCCCGGAGCGACGTTCTCAGCCACGTCAACCCGCCAGCTGAGGGACGAGAAGACGGGCAGCACGTCGTTCTCGTCCTCCACCACGATGAGCACTGAGCCTGTACCTGCACGCGCAGATAATTTAAAGGTAATTTCATCAATCCAATATATATATATAGAACGATAAAATATTTATAGTTTTTTTCACTCGGGAAAAAAATTCTGTTTATTACATGAAACCAATTCTGTCTATCGACATCAAAATTAGAAAATAATTCTAACTCGAAATATGTAAACGAAATTATAGTGCATGATATATTGTAACTAAAAAGTTAATGTGAAACTTATCAATATGATTTCAATAATCTTCGGATGGCATTTTCGTTAGATTAAATTGGAAATTGAACTCGAAGACTTGAATAAGATCCTCGCTAAGTTATCAGTTGGTAGTCACATTGTTTATTTATTTTGTGATTTTATGGCTGTGTCGGAATACGGCTTGCGAATCAAGATACTCGTGTTGTGTTGTACTAAGATCTCCGTGTCACGGCAGTTGTACCGTGATGCAGGACTAATATGCAGCTAAAGCTGAAGATTTGCATGTACCTTAATAAACTGCCAACTAAAATATATAATAAACTCCTCTAAACTGAATCAATGTCCAGATTTATATATTCCATGTATTTATATAACTACGCTATCATAGCGTTTCTGATTAATTGTAATATTTCTGCACTACGGCGCGACTTTTTTTTATTTTATAAAGAATTTTTTTTCCTCTTTCGAGTTGCGTTTTCATTCCTAAATTACGATATAATTTCTGTGCTGCAGTAATATTTTCGCTTCTATATGTTTCTTACCATCCTTATGCTGCAAGACAACTTGTAATGATGGCACAATTCCTCTGTTACCATTCTATTTGTGCTACGGAATATTTTGTGTGGCACTTTGATATTGTTTTTTGTGTTATTTTTGCAGCACTTCCCCATTGCCGTCACTGTTCTGGTATTCGGACAGGCTCGTGATGCCATTTTCTGTGCCAGAAAGTATCCTTATCATTCTTCAAACAACACATGTTAGATAGACAAAGAAGCTGAGACGCTCTTCACGAGATAAGCGCCAAAAAATAGCAAGTCTTGCATGCCTGGAAATTATGCTGCGTCTAACACTGGGGATTTATGTCGTCATAAATAATTAAATGAATTATTAGCGAAGACATGTTCTTGAGTCTGTGTCACTGCGTCGAAGCGTGGAGCAAAAAGTGAGACTGTATGCAAAATCGAACAACGAAATTTTGACTTGCTTACAAGTTCGACTCGGCAGTGCAAATGTGCGAATTTCAAAATTCAAATAATGGTTGAATTTACTAGTAGATAATGTCTGGTTTAGTGCTATGACTTAACAGCCGAGGCAGAGTTCTAACGAAAGCACCAAGTTTAATTTTCAGCGTTGAATAAGCGATGAGTTAATTTAATTCAAATAAATTGGATGCAATTTCTGTGCGTTTCACTTTTTGTTCCGGCTTTAGTTGAGAATTTATTCAGGCATCAACAAGATCAAGAGATATGTAAGGTTGTAGCCTGAACAAATTAATCATTCGCACGAGAACTTGCAGCACCAGAAGCCACGGTCGCTAGGGAACGAGCTACATGCGCAGGAACATTTGCATCCTTGCATATGCGACCGTCTTTCGCAGCGAAGGGATTCTATCTGCCGGAAATAAGGCCTTACGTGAGTGTTTTACCATACGCAGAGCCTGTGTCTATTCCTGAGCCGTTCTCTATGAGGTCATTTCTGTAAATCCAAGGCAGTAATATAGGCAGAGCTCTAACTTCCCTCTAAGATAGGCACTTTACTGCCAAATAATGATTCAAAGTGCAGCCAGATTCGGAGAGGCCAAGTTTCCGAGCACCTGGTTCGTGTCTATATAGGAGTTTTCAATCCTCCGCAAATCTTTCCTGAGAAGCTCATGGCGGCACACAAACGGATCGCCTTGAGTTTTTTCCATGCAAGCCTGGCTTACGTTTTTTTGAGGACTACTTTCCAAGGCAGTGCTTGTTCATAGAAATGAGTCTTAAGCAGTATACGTTAATTCGTTGAAATTTTGTTGTTTTTAAGGAAACATGGCTTATAATACACAAGCCAAAATTCCTACCTTGAATCCGTTCGTAATTAAATTCTAAAGATTTATTATCTAATGAATAAGTACTTACATGGTTATCTGCATTTATTTCCAAATGAGAATGGAGCCCGTAAAGCCTTATCCAAAGACTAATTTGTACAGAACCAGCATTGGTCATCAAACATTGCATTGTCATGACGTTCAATACCTTGTGACTCGCATTTTCCTTTCCTGAAACTCGTAATAAATTTATAGTTCCCTTTGTACGGTCTGCAAGTGAGGTATTTCTGCTCCGCACTGTATTGTCTCAGCAATTAAATTCACTCGCGTGTGCAATATCTCTCCGCCGCTGAAAAGTTTTCGTCTTGGCTCTGCAGAGAAAGTCTTCCACTGTACCGGGGACCAAGCCCGCCATTCAACCATGATCGCATGTCCGTCTCCAGGCCCAAACTCGATCGCATGCCCGTCTCGCATGTTCCAACAGGTCCAAATTCTGCTCGTGTGCGAGGTGTCCCGTCGACCATAAGCTTAATGCAAGGAAAATTGTAAGGCGAATACTTTTAGTCAAGCTTCGAATTCAGCCCCAATTAGATCGCATCACTGCAATACTGCAATTGTAGCAAGCACGATGCGAAAATGTTGAACAATTCCGAAAAAATTTACAAAAATGGATTGAATGAAACGTAATCGAGGACCATAGCGAATTTTGCAAAACAAATTAGAAACCAGTCACAGTAAATCGTAATTTCATATATTCATATTCAAATTTAGGGAACAAAAGTGCTATCAGGGCGATCACAGTTGCTGTCAAGATTTACAATATGCCGTGGATATATAAAGGTGATGCTTTTAGTCTCCGTTACTCGTTTTTTGGGTCACCGTTCGGGCGGCGGTCTGAATTGACCCTAAAATAAGTGCATTTCTGCGAGAGCCTCGCTAACGAAGTTGAGCTCTATATTGGCAGCGCCTTTAGACCCGAACCTTTGCTAGCCTTTCTATTGTATAGTGCACCGTCGAGCATGTCTACCCTGTCGACTCAAGCGTACGCGCGCCGAATTTTGGCTCCAGATCGATAAGCAAGTCACATAGTGGACTTGAAACTCTGCGGGAGGAATTTAAGTCCAATTCTTGTGAATGAGTCAATCTGTAGGCTCCGTCCGTCTAAGGAATTTGAGGCCATTTACTTCATCATAAGTTTCCTTCATGAGCTTAAAAGTCCGCGTACTAAGTTCAAAGCAAACACATTCGTTGATAATGCACGAATATTCACGGACTCCGGATCTTGCGCAGAATAAACTCTGAATTATTTTACTTTTTCTGCATCAAACACTAAGTTGTAAAAGCCACATCGTTTCTATCGAACCACCTGAGCAAATAATCTCGCTGCTTCATAAGCGTGTGGTGCTGTTGATAATCAGGGGCTATATATGTATATACACAAGCTGAGATCCCACATTGCCGCGCTGCTTACTTTCAATCATAAGCCATTACGAGCTGTGCAGCGAACTATTGATTTCTGAATGATTGAAATAAAATTTAACGGAATAGAAGCAAAGCATCAATATATCTTGCGTTCCTTTCATTTAATTTGATGTTTTGAATATTACTGCAATATTTCATTAAAGTTACTAAAAAAAGTTCTAACCTGTTTCCCACGATCAATTTTTCATAGGAATAAGGTGTGCGGCTTTTCAGGCCTCCCCCGTCAGTAGCGACCACCTGCAGCTGGTATGCGGGCGTCTTACCTTTCAGACCTCCCCCGTCAGTAGCGACCACCTGCAGCTGGTATGCTGGAGTTTTCTCGCGGTCTGGGCAGCAGAGGGCGGTCGAGATGCTGTGGCGGAGGGCAGACAATGTGTGCTCAAGATTCACTCGAAACGAATTTGTCTTCACTTTTTTATAAAAATAAATTATCAAGTAGTTTAATGGACATAAATTAAAATTCACATTGAATGATAAAACTAATCACATTCATATTTACATCAAGAAACACGCATTGTATACTGCGATGTTACCTGCCAGTTTGTGGGTCGATGTCGAATATGGGCTTGCCAGAGACCTCGTCGATGACGTTCTTCTCGATGGCGTAGGTGAGGTGAGTGTGGCCCGCCTCGCTCGGGTCGTCGTAGTCTGTCGCCTCGGCCGTCATCACCACCGCGCCTGGCGAAGGGTGGCAGCAATTTCATAATTATGTATTATGAAATTGATGATATTTCATGAGATTTTTTCTTATTTATATTTTTATATGATTTTTTTGTTTTTTGTTTTATATGAGATATTTTCACTCATGAATTGTAGTTCGGCATCATAAAGCAACAATATATTGTATAAAAATTAGCCATTTCTTTGTGCCGAATATCTTACATTTATACACGATAGCTAAATATTAAAGGTTTAACAAAATAAAAGGTATTCAGATTAATTCCAAACGGATACATTTCTTAGGTTGTTAATTACTTTACCAAGAAAACCTCAGTTAATTTTGTTAACTCTGTGAATATTTCGAGTGTTGTAGGGAACCAAGATTCTCTGAATTCAGCTCGTCTTTCCTTCGATTTTCAGCTCTTAATTACGAAATGCTGCTCGACTGTCCCAGTGAAACCAACATCAGTTCTTTGTGTTGACCATTTGCTTACCCATAACAGCACCCAAAACCTTGTGGTCTAAACACACACTCACACTTTTCTCATTGCAATTGAAAACTGATATCAATAATTTAAATCAATTGATCCTCTTATTTTAAATTCAATAAATTCAAAAGCAACTTAACCTGTTTTCCAGGCTAACGTGCTTCTCACCGCGCCATCTACCGAGTATCGGTAGTTAACCGAGAGTTAACCGGAGTATCGAGTTAACCTGCTAGTCTGACGCGCTTAATTCGTGTGCTTCAGTCCCGTAAGTTAATGCATGTAAAATAACAACTGACTATTCACATAAGAATTTTATGTTTAAAGAACAATTTAAGTAAAATTTTAGATTACTCTAGAAAGGATTGTATAACCTAGATTTATCAAAGCGTAAACAATCCTATTGAAAAAATATATTACGCTAAATTTTCAGAGCAGAAAATAGGGCTGCAACGAACGCCAATTAAAAATTAGGTCGGTGAAAATTAGACCATCACTAATAGCAAATTGGCTGTAGGTGTGTATCGTCATCAGAACGTGCAAATAAACTTCGTTAAGCTCGACTAGGCGACTCCAGGCACGGAAACTCCCAAGATGTCACGGCTGAATGCTGTCTCAAATAACCTACTAGAGGGAAGCAGTGTCTTTGGATTTATTGCATGTGGCGCGCGACGGTCCAATTGTCGCCACACACCGGCGCCATATTGTTCTCCCTCGAGCACTGATATTGTCAGGCTTGGTTGACGCCAATATTCTATTCACTGCAGAAAGCATCAATCCATTCTCTGCCTCCCTTACAACTCACTGTTGTCAGGCTTGACATACCACATCATTCCATTAACAGTCTATCAGTCTACCTAAACACTAATTGTCACTTTTGTCAGGCATGGCAGAGGATGATTCTAAGCACATTTCCTAAATCGGCTCAAATTATTATATTCAGCAGATTATATCGCTCCATACATCAACGTAGACATAAACCGGCTCATATTATTGGGTTCAGCTGACCAAATAATTTTATTCACAACCCTCGAGTTCATTAGAGCCGTTAGACAAATCCCTCACGCTGGACAAACCCCTCACGATGGAAAAATCCCTCACGCTGGAAAAATCCCTCACGATGGACAAACCCCTCACACTAGACAACCCCCTCACGCCAGACTTCGTTTGCTGCAATGCAAGTCTTTCATCTGTATTAATTCGAGTAAAATTTTGCTGCTTTTCACGCGCGCCATTTCTTTTATGAACATTTCCACATCAACAACCAATAAGATTTTTCCTACAAATATTAAACATATCAATGATTAACAACATAATGTCGAAGAAACCCGAAGCATTCCAGACCATCAAAAGATACTTGAATAGAAGAAATAAGTAAATGCCACTAACTTAAGGTAAAATCGCTCCGTAACTTTGGAATGTGAAAAAGTCACACGAACACGTTTAGATTTTTCCAAAAATATCTGAAGAGTTTCTCGTGCCCGGTGTTCTTACCGCTCTCATAATATATGCCATGTCTGAGGCAAACTCTATGGCTTTAGAGGGTAAGCCGTTAGTGAGCAGAACAATGATTATGCTACGCTGATCATAACAACATCATACTTGACACGGATGCTTGCTATATATTATAAAGCACTTGAGTGTAAATGAACAATATTGCTACAACAGCTGTAATACCGTGGGGGATAAATTTTTAAATGTAATTCTGTTTCGCTAAAAGCCTCAAGCTAAATTAATGACGTCGCATATCCTTGATTGCTGAGAGAAACCTTAGAGAATATTTTGAGCGTAGATATATACGCAATTAATTTTAATGCTCGCATTAATGAAGAATGAAGAGACAAGTAAAATATTTTAACAAATTGTAGGTAATGCTGTGAGTTCATCAGTCTCTAGATCCTTTAGGTACCAAATTTATTGACAATGCAAAATATCACATTGCTAAAATTTATTAATTGAAGAAAAATTGACGGGAGACATGCATGTCAACCTGGTCACAGCGCAGCCTGAAATTAAAGGCGATGTATTAGTCCAATTGGACAATTGAACTTCATGCAAAAAAACACTATTTTGAAAGGCGACCGAAATGTACAGCTGGGCGCTGAAGGGGGCGCTTACCCGCGCGCTCGTTCTCTCTGATGGAGGCGATGAGCGGCTGTGCGGGGAAGAAGGGCGCGTTGTCGTTGACGTCCTTTACGTTGACGAGAAGACGTGCGACGTCGTGATGACGTCCGTCCGTCACCCCCACCCACAGGTACCAGTGGGGGACGCCGTGGGGTACGTCGCGGTCCAGAGGCTGGACCAAAGGAAAGTGGGGAATATATTGATAATTTCATGGAGAATTAAATCATTTGTGAGGGATGAATTTTAGGTTCGTATCAACATCAATAATACATCCATGACACAGAGAGTAAATAGTTATAGATGAGAAATAAATTGTGATCAGCTAACCAAGAAATAGTGACATAAAGCAACGTAGAAATTTAGCCGATGCTTCCGACTGAAAACTTTAACAATAAAACGCAGTCCAATTGAAGACAATGTGCTCATCGAGCACGCAATCTTGTACTTTTGAATAATTTCTAAGCTTTACTTAAATTCTCCCTTATTGATAACGGCCATTTATTTGACGCTGTGTATGCTAGATAGATGTTCCTAGAAGATCCATTCTGGCACTGACTCATGAAATTCTTTTATTAATTAATTTATTCCTAAACCTCTCCCTGGAACTTATTCAATAAAATTTGTATTCGTGCAGGTAAATAATAAATCCAATAAAGAATGTATTGTTCGGAAAGCCATGAGCATCCTTCAATACTTTCATCAATCATCCATCTCCTCTTTATGCACATACAACAATAATATTCATTGTAGAGATGAACATAGCACCGATGCAGATGTCACCAATACATTCGCCAAGACTTGAAGTGCATTTAATAAGAGTTGCCATGGCATGAGTCCCGTACCTTAATAAAAGTAATGTCGCCGGTCTGACTGTCGATTGCGAAAAATTCTGTTGAAGTTGAGTTTTGAGGGACGGGGGCGAGCTTCGGTGGTGGGCGCACCGAGACATCGAGGTCGGCGTAGGAGCTTCGTTTTTCCCCTTCAGCGCCGCCAGGAGCGCGTGTGGCGTTAGGGAAAAATCCAGCATCGAGTTGAGCGACCATGATGGAGTAGCGCAGGCGACCTGCATCGGTCATGTCGGGGTCGTGGGCTCGCACCTAGTATGTAAAAAATTAAGGTTTCTTGGATAATTATTAACAATTACGCAGCAGGGTACTTCAGATCACGGAACGTTTTGTATAAAGTTTAATGGTCGGGAAAATCCAGCACTGGGTTGAGCGACCACAATGGAGTAGCACTGGCGTCCTGCATCGTCATTGAGTACAAAAATTAGGTTATCGTGGAAAATAAATAACAATGACGCCGCTATAAGCCATATTTTTAGACCATAAAAGTTCTGTATAAAGTTTAATGTCTACTCCAATGAAACCACCAGCCCTTGAAGCGAACTGAAACAATCATTACACATTTGAATGATAAATAATGTGATGAGTCCTTCGAGCAAATGTGCTCGCTTGTGATGGACATGATACAATTCAATGATTCAGTGGGGGGGATAAGATGATTCATTTAATAATAGAAAATTAGGTGTAGGGGCTCTGCAAAAACTCATAGAAGTTATTAACTTTGAACGAAAAATATTCGAAACAGAAGCATCGGAGTGGCAAAATGAAGAAATTTTTAGATGCAAAACTAACTATTATTTTCCTAAATTTCAGTGCCGAACAACTTCATTCTTTTCATAATGAGCTTATGAATAATCGAGGTGAATATGACGGTGATAATCAAAGTTTCTCCTACAGAGACGGCGACAGATGAGGCTCGTGAAGCGCAGCGGCTTTATTATTCATGTGCTGGAGCTTCTCGCTGCGCACAACGCCTGTAAAATTTCCTGATAATATTGGAGACTTGTTTAGTTTTATTAAATATTGATGTTTCGCAAACTTTAGGAAGGCATCTGCGAAACATTTCGTTTTGGGAAATGTTTAAATTGTCGGTGAATATTAAAAATAATTAATTGATGATTCCTCCTGATAACAAACATCCATTCCCATTGAACATAATTAACGGATGGTGTCAAATGAATATTCATAATGATGGCGATAAATAAATAAATCAGCTGGGAATAAACAAAAAGAAGCCAACATCGTGAGCTTGATTTTGGTTAACCTAAGCTTCCTAGAGCAAACACCAGTTTGACTAAGCGACTAAGCCTCACAGTTGACTGTCAGAGATGTCCAATAGGCCTGGTTGACTATAAGCACTCAGCCTCATAGTTGGCAGCCAGGCATTTCATATATGCCAGGTTGAAATTTCGACAGACGCAGGAAACGATTCTACAGAAGAGGCTCTCCAAGGAAATAATTGTGAATGAAACTTCAGGAGCCACTGATATCTGACATGCTGCTCACGCTCAGCGTTCTAACGAACAGCAACTTGAGGTCGTATACCCGCCTGGCGTGGAAGTTTGAACAGATCGCCTAATGGAACAAACAAGTTGCTTTTTGAACACTATTTAGTGTTCAATTATTGAAAAACAATATATATTATTGTTTCTATAACCTTAATTTAACAACCTTTGTCTTTAACAATTTTATTTTTAATAATATTTTGATGCAGTTTTAATTAAAGCGTTCTTTAGTTGCCAAGATTATTTTATTCAAGAATTGGCCCAACCATTACTTGTGCCATTGGACACGCTTGGACAACATCCATTCGTTTTTTAGCTTCTGCCGGCGGATGTGAGCAGCAACAAAAAGCGCGGCAAGAAGCCAATAACACCAACAATCTTTGCCGAGGTCAAGCCTGAGGCTGTTTAATGAACGATCGATCTTACAGAGACTTCTTGTAAACGTGGCTTGCAATCCCTTAAATTTATTGAAAAAGTTTGCGGGCAAGCTAAAATTGAACAATTATACTAAGAGCGTTTAAATGATATTTTAACAACAATGTGATCTATTGAAGAATTCAATGCGTGTAATAATTCTTGCGTCATATTCTCAAAAGCCTAATAGGTTGTAAGGAATTAAGAAAGCAAATAATTTGGTTGTTCGCCAGTTCACTCGCAATTTGGTTCCATGCATTTTGAATAAAGATTTGGTTCAAAGCGATCCAGATTTTAAATCAAGTCAATGCCTTGTGTGCTGTGATGGTTCAGGTCCAATTTCACACATGCTCTGTTTTCGAGCTGCAAAACTGCGCTACTCAAACATGAATAAAGCAGAATGACTCAAACCTGGCCTGATATTAGTCCGCATGTCATGACCGGTTCGCTAATGAATGATTACTCGTCCACTTTTGCTAAGGAAACGAATCAGTTACTCAATAATATAAATATAAAAACCCGGAACAATTTAATGATTATTTCAGATATATTAAAAAACTCGCTTTTAATCCTGAATTATTATGTCGTAGTGTGTTATCTACCAATAAGAATATCGTTAGTACTTCCGAGTTCAAATATGTGTACGAAACTAAATTCAATGAGATAATTTTTCGTAACTACTGTTTTCATTTTCGAAGAGGAAAGTTCTTCACTGCACCGTAAACTTTTAAGCGGAACATAACACCATGAGGTTCGCTTTCACACAAAATGTTGTTTAATTATGTGTATTAACTTTCAAGCGCTACAAATGTTTCCACTGCAAACAGCCTCAGGTTTATTTCAGGGACATGGCAGTAGACACAGCTACATGAGCCGCGGCAGGTGGCAGTCATGGCAGAGGACACACCTGCAAGATGAGCCGCGGCAGGTGGCAGTCATGGCAGAGGACACACCTGCAAGATGAGCCGCGGCAGGTGGCGGTCATGGCAGCGGACACACCTGCAAGATGAGCCGCGGCAGGTGGCTACCTGCATGATGAGCCGCGGCAGGTGGCGGTCATGGCAGCGGACACACCTGCATGATGAGCCGCGGCAGGTGGCGGTCGTCCTCCTCCGTCACTTGGGTCTCGTACAAAGGCCGTGCAAAGTACGGGCGGCTGTCGTTGGTGTCGGTGACGTTCACCACGACGCGTCCGTATGCCTTCTCGGTGCCAGCGACTGCGGCCACGAAGACGTCGTACTGCTCGAGAAATATAATGCTACTCAAAACAAAGAGAATAACAAGCTCTATGTCACGAAACATTCCGTTATTGAAATGATTATTTAGAAGGTGGACAACTAATGTTTTCTTTTCGAGATTAAAGAACTAATAAACTTCGACAGGCATCGAAAACAGCAACCTTACCCCACGTGTTTGTGTTTAATGAATGCGATTCTACTCAATGCTCAAATGATTTTTGTAGAATCCGTCTTGTTCAAAATTTGCACCAGATTGGCTTTTACACCGTTAAAAATTATGAGTTGCCATTTTTGACACTCGCATTGCGTAAACCACTTCCAGGCGAAATACATTTTGTGCCTAATAATGCATCCTTGCCAACATATCCTTACAGTCATTTACGATAAAGACGTCACGAATATCTTCGAATTGATTCAACAACACTACATTTTTCCGGTTTGTTTTTGACTATCTCATAAGCTGGCAACGACGGATCAACGCGAGGCAACTTTAACAATCTCGAGTTACGCCTCAGGACCCCCATATATCTGTGTTGTTTCGAGGCTCCGGCAGAGCGACACAAATGATCGACCAGGTCAGTTTGTGGACGCTAAATTAACAAGGCAGGAGACACATGGCTGCGGTGTTCTGCCTTTAGCATCGAGGTTCCATTACCTTATTGAAAATCATGCTCTCATCTTCGCAGGTCAGCCATTTGCCTGTCAGAGGCAGTGACTTTGCGCAACAAAATTCGAAATTGAGAAAGCCTTTTTGCAATATGCTGGGTTCCTGGGAGAGATATCTCCAGATTTAATATTTGTATTCCATGCAACTAACATTCAATTATATTATCCAAGTTGATGCCGAATTATCACTGGGACGCTGCCACGGAGTCACTCCAAATTAGTTTATATTATATGGAGGAGATAAAATAATTTCAGACATTGTGGCAACGTGTTGGTTTTATTGCGCTTTTAAGCTGCAAAAAGGTTAAAGCGGCCGCCAAATATTATCTCTTTTTTTTCTGACATTAAAGAATCTATTTTTATCGCAGTAACTTTTTTCTTTCATATTATTGCTAAACCAACATGTGAAGAAAGTTGATTTTAAATCAACGAATTTAAAAAATGCTAATTCCTTATAAGCCTCATAGCAATTTACTACGCATTTTCGACTGAACTGAATACTCAGTATTCACGATACAGAACTAATAAAACATTTATTGAATAATAAACGAAATTCTTGCAATTTTAACTGCACTGAATTGTTGCAGATATGATTTCATTTTCGCTCGAATAATATTAGTCACGAGTCATTTAAACATTAATTCAGCATTATTTTCGTGAAATGGAAATGTCAAACGACTTTATTTATACATGGAAGAGAACCATCTTCTTGACCGCGCATCGCGGCCACAGCTGGCCCCTTGAGGTCTAGTGGGGCATTTGTTTTACCTTTATATATATTTTTTTTTACATTATACATTACGCGCCGTTGTCGGATGAGGAAGAAGCCAACCAAGTGGCAATTATACTGACCAAATATGAGTTAATCGATAGATTCTTTGAGGTTAAGTACTCCTTCAATGTTCAATGAACGTTCAACTCAATCGACATGACCGAATCATTTAGGGTTAAATGGCATAATAGAAGTTCAGTAACCGTAAAGCCTTTAGAATTACAATTCCTTGTACATGTGTACAATGAATCCATTCCTTGTACAATGAATCCATTTGTACTGAAGTAAAAGGCAACGGGAATCGTAATTACGCATCATAAAATATAATGCTGTACTTGTACCTCTCAATAATTTTATATGTGATATTTCAGCACCTCCATCCGTTCCCGCCGCGCTGGCTGCAACAAAGAAGCGGCTAATGCCGCCATTATACTAATGGGGTTACAGCCATTTTTGAGGGTCACGGTATCAGAAATAATAATTTTATGGATGCGTATATCTTATTATTATATCTTATATAACTTAATAAATTATTTGGCTAGGTTGTGACATGACTAGTGCATATCACAGTACTTTATTGAAGTAAATTTTCATCATCACGCGTCTCCCATTCCCTGTACTTTAGTATTTTCTTACCACGCAGACTTGGTTTACATAGAACTCGACTTTCTTATCTCCTCTGCACGGAGCAAGTCTCTGAGGAGCACTTAACGTCGAGCCTACCTAGCTTTTTCTCTCTGAACTTTTCCTAAGAGTAAATTCTCTTACGATGTGGACAGGTGGAAAATCCAAGGACTTTTTGAATATCAAATGACGAAGTTAAGTGATGCCAAACATTAGGTTTTAACAGAGTATTGCTGTCATACTCATCGTTGTCTGCCACCAGCAACGAGTGGTTATTTGAGGCGCTGCTCCGAACAAACAGAATCAAGAGGATAGTATATGTCTTGACTTCTATCCTACAACAGAAGATCCAACACCTGCAGATCGAATGCATTAGTTCCTCGCAATACTGACAGCAGAGAAGTTATATTGCCCGCTGCCGACAAGCTTGACCGTCCATTGCTTGTTTGGTCTTCTGAAGTTTATGAAATAATCTTCATGAAAGTCGAATCCTTCAACAATTTGCTATAGTCGTTTACAATGTCATCACTTTATTTTCCAGTGTGACTTTCACTAATATATGTTTAGTTGTATCAATATTTTAGTGATGATCTATCTATTCAAATCATTGAGTAAAAAAATTCATGCGTCAATGAATACCCCACGAATTCCTCACAAGGATCGTATGTGAGGTGTGCTCACATCCTGAGAGTAATACACTCACGATGTTGCGGGACTCATAATCGAGAGGCGTGGAGAGCTGCAGTTTGCCAGAGAGACTGTGAATGTAGAACTGCCATTGCTCGTTGCCGCTCACGATCTCGTACGTCACTCGGCTGCCTGTGGCAAATGCAGACCATTAGCGATGTGAAGGAGCCGCGGTGGCTGACATCCATCACTTCTCAGCCACTACAGTTGGAGAAATGAACAGGACTATCCAAATAACTATGTACTTTTTAGCGCATTTTCTCATTTATGGAAAAAATGCGCTATTGTGCTCGTCATGTCTGTCCGTCCGTCTGTCTGTCCGTCTGTCTGTCCGTCTGTCTGTCCGTCTGTCTGTCTGTCAGTCTGTCCGTCCGCGACTTCACGTTTTCGTCGACGAGAAAATGCGCTCTCTGTCACTCACTGTAGTGAGTACTGAGTTATATTTTTAGCTATTGCGTGGGTCATCCTAACCCGCTTTGGCCCGACAAAAGGACGTATCAGTGCTACGTCCGCTCCTTGCTCGGACTGCAGGTAAGAAGTGTGTCACTATTTAAACAATTTGACCCGCTATTTATCCTGCGTGCAGCTCATGACTGGATACCGCATTACCTCAACCTAGGTCGATTTAAAGTTATTCCCATTGAGTGCTCAAAAATAAGGTTTTAAATCAATCCAGCTTCAGCGAAAACATTTTCTAATGTGTTCTTTTGACCATTTTCAAATCCGCTGTCCGAACAAAGTTGGTTTAATAAAAGCCGAAACGCATAACTGCAGGGTAACTTCAGTAGAAACTTCAGCTTTATGTTAACAATTATGACCAAAAAATATCTCATGCCAGAACCATTCGCAAAATATAAATTCAATTGATGATTTAACAATGTTATTAGTTCGTAACATGTCGTCATCATGTGACAGCAAGTTATATAAGTAATGCTCCAGTTGGCAGTTGTAGAAAACATTTGGGACAACTAAAATCTAGAACGTGTTTACCGAATGCATCCAATTTCACTAGATGAATGTTAACGACAAAAGTTTTTCTCAACAGGCACACGACTTTTGACCGCCGTCACTAGCGTACATGCTGGAGCTCGCGTGTGTGCTTACAAAACCTCGTTTAGGCAGCAACCCTGGCCCAGAACACGGTCCATGATTGGTTGCAGGAAAAAAGTTAATATAGTTCTACAAACTTCTCTGAACTAATACTAGTTGTGAAAACATTCATGAAAAAATTGGAAACTATAGGCGTGAAAACTTGAGGGACAAATGATTTTAGCTACTTACGCACTTAAATTGATATTATAATTCCTCGGTGAATTGGCACGAAAGAAAAATAAATTATAATAATGTAATTAAATTATACTCTAAGCTCTATATTAACTTTAAAGCATAACTGAAGCACCAATATAATCTTAAAACACACAAATGAGGGCACAATATTTTATTTTCATTTTAGTTTTCAGTCACCACATCGGTCGCCCCACACTCACGGGTGGTGTTGGAGTGCGCCGAGAGCTGCGCCAGGAGGACGGGCGCCACGTTCTCAGGCACGGTCACCATCTGGTCCGGTCTACTGAACGTCAGCGTGCCTGTCCCGCTTAGTTCCGACACTGCAATGAATGCATCAATTGTATTGTTAATGATAATTATCTATCCATGACATGCACAAATTGCTTGGGAGTATTGCAGTGATTTTAATTAATGTAATAGGCATGACTTTCACGTTTTGATAGTAATATTCTTCAATATTTCAGCTCCTAATCAGTTTATTAGATGTCAGTATAAATTAGTACCAACATACAAGTGATTGTGTTAGCGAATTAAAGGCCTGAAATCTAATATTAATTTTCAATTAATAATCATATTAAGAATAGAGTCCTGAGAGTAACAGAAGAAACATATACTCACGCTAACTACATAGCTATCTTATTGTATGATGTCTGCAGCACAAAATAAACGGAGAAGACATCATGGTTTTACAGCTTCGCGCATAATTAGTTTAAGTTTGCACCTCACCAAAGACTCGTAAAGCAATATTCACATTTACTCATACAATATTCACTTCACAAGGGAACGATGAATTCCAAGATTGAATATACCCGAGCGATTCCCAATCTATTTTTCCCGCACTTCAAACACCATAACAAACTTTTATTAATTCTTGTAAATGGTTTCTCTGGAGGCTTTTTTGGAAGGATCATCTGTCTCTCAATTGCGTGCAGAAGTTTGCGAGTGTTGGGAATCCATGCATGCTGCATAATTCAGGCATAACATCATGTGGCAGCTGTACTGCTGTAGCAGCTTCAATTAGTGCGGTCTTCGGGCAGAAATATGGCCTCCACCTCGTAGATGTGACAGAATTGCGAATAAACTTCCTTTGAAATCTACACCCTAGAAACTGCTACTGCTGCTGCTGACTTTGACTGTATGAGTACCCGCTTAGCTATTCCTTTGACTTAAATTGCTTTGCCGAGAACGAAAATCATACCTGGAAATTACACTCAGGTTCGAATAACTCTAATGACATTTTAAGTTTTGTACATTTTTTTATTTGTGTATTTATTATCCGCGTCATTACGCACTGCCAAATAAGCAAAAATTTAAATCCTGAAAATCTTACTCAGTTTAAAATCAAATTTAATTTATAGTTCGTTCAAAATAGTTACACTTAATTGAAGTTCTATATAAATTGATTACTATAAGCGGAAATCATTTTGCCTTATAACTACTCAATAATAATGATTTGTAAGACATCTTTTTACAAAAGCCTCAAAATATTTCATATAGAGGCGACGAAATTTACGAACTATCATTATATGTGGCTGTGCATGCTTGAGTATGACAGGCCAGAAAATCTACAGCAAAATTAATCATCGCGTCGCTACCGATGCTTGACGAGCATGGACATCGTAGAGTACTGACGGCATTTCAAAAACCATCGTCGCACATAACTGTAAACAATTTTGCAGATGAGAGGAGTTTTTTTACATTCGTTTCAAATTATAACGGAAAATCCTCTAATCATATCTTGGACCTCAGAAATTTATGCAAACTACTTGATCCAATAAAGACCAAGAGTTTATGGTTCTCTTATAATTATTCACTAATAAAAATCCAATCTGAGTATTTTTGGGAATAGTGACAAATAGTGAAAGGCATTACTTGTATTCCATGATGTAAAGCTGAGAGATTCCGGAAAACTTTATTGAAAAATTGGCTGTAAAATTCCCTAACGATTTTTTATCACTCTAATTCGAGTTCTAGAATGGAAGTAAAATAAGTGTGAAGATTTTTATTACTTATTGAGTGGTTCAAGAAAATATATCCATCACAATGAAAAAAACAATAAATTGAAGATGCCAATTATAAGCAAAATAACTCTAAGCTATACAATTAGTGAGCAATTCTAAGTCCCACAAAATTACTGTTGGTATCGATGTATTAGGTCCAGGAGTTTCGCCGCTTTTTTCAGGCCCTCATGTCGTATGTAAAATCTCGTATCTCATTTTTTTATTTGAGTTATTAAGGAATTTCTGGACGTTATTCGCAAAAATTTGCGCTCAGTGACAGGGAAGCGGTCGGGAAAGATGCAGCCTCGTATTCCCAACAATTTCTTTAATACATTCGCCGCGTCATATTTGTGATTTATAGTGGAGAGTTAAAAGAGAGATTTATTGCTTAAAAAATTCTCTGATGGCAGCTGCAAGTTTTTTTCAGTCTTTATGACTGAGGTTAGCATTAAAAAAACTGTCTCAAATTCACAACAAAAGCAAGACAAACAACTCAACCAATAGTCGGAAAAAAGGTTTTAGTTTTACAAACCAGAAAGGAATAGTTACTCAAGCTAGAAAAGAAATTTTTAACAGGCCTCGGTAATCTATTGTTCAAACGGTGGCCAGGCTTCCTATGTTGCGTTGCGACACGAGCGGCGGTTATCTCCGACCAGCCAAAGCGACTTTACCAAAATTGCCGAGCGACAAGGCGAGTTGCTTCTCCATAGAATGCAGAAATTAATATATAATGTAAAAATTAATAATATACATGTTCAAAATAACAATATAGCTTCTGGTCGTGCCCAATTCATTTGAAGTGAAAATTGGGACAATTTTATGACTTCATATATCGGTATGCAAAGCGGAGTGACTTTTCTCGCAGCCATTCCGCTGAATTTTCATTTTTTATTAGTGTCACGGACAGTGTTGCCAAATGGCCTAAAAAAACTGACAAGTCCGCTGACAAAGAGGCCAACAAAGGCAAATCAAATTTAATTATTTTCGCATTTTTTTAAACGTAATATGGAAGTATCGCAATCAACAATTTTAGCCGGCTAACGCAATTGAAAAAATACTAAATCGCGAAATCTGTCCGGAAAAAAAGACCGTCTGGCAACACTGGTCACGGAGATTGGGAGATTCCGTTTACTTTAAATAAAAGTTATCTTGATGAGATTCAAGTGTTTAATGATGGTCAATATGAAAAACTACATTCATGGGATTCTAAGAATAATTAAGGAAATATCTCACCGTTTGTGATCTGCTCGCCGAGCGGGATGAGCAACGGGACCAAGAAGTTCACAGCCATGGCGTCGTTGTCGTGTCGCTGCTGGAGAAGTCTTCTGAATGCTCCTTAATATCAAATGAAGTAGCCTTAATCACTCATTTTTGCTTGTCTGATCAGCCTGGTCATTTAAACAATTAACTGCACTTGAATACTTATGCGCTGTAATTAAGAAGTTAAATAATAAGATCACAACTTCGCTACATATTTTTCGTGAACGGAAGAAAATCTTATCTCACTCACATAAATAAAGCCCGATGTACTCATGCAAAACACTAACGAACACAATACTCCAGTAGAAAAAGAGGATTATTTTGAAGTATATTCTACATGGATTGTAACATACATAGAACATTTAGTAAAGCATACAAATTAAAATAAATATTTCCTTGCAACAGCAGAGAACCACTATTCGTACCATAATTTCCAAGCCACAGGCATACCGCAATTTCATAATAAAAAATTCGTATCGGTTTTCAAGTCTCGAAGCTTGCAAATGGAGCTCGGGACTTCACTCACAATTCAAAAAACATACGAAGTTGCATCGATCATACAAGGCGGTCCACGGGGCCTGATGGCCGTGTCTTCCTCAGGGAGGTACTGCACAACTCTGAAGTAAGATGATCTTATCAGTGACGGCAAGAAAAAAGCTTTGTTTGCCATAGGGAAAGAAATGTGGCATCCTATTGCATTGGCACAATATGCAAATGAGCAATCGTGGCAAGAGCGACCTGTCCACGCTAACGTGAAATTTGAACGAGACTCCAAGTAAAGGAAAGCGTCCGCTTCAATGACATGAAGAAATTGAGGCTCGAGCCGCTGTTGAGAGTGTGACGCTCCGAGGGAATAGAACCAATTTTAAACTTTGAGGGACATGGCTGGGTAAGTCACTACGGGGAACAATCGCAACTGAATGAATATTTGAATATTTTACGAGTTTTAATCAGCAGTCCTGAAGTTATAGGCGCGGGAATTTGTCTCATTTCACCATTAAACAAAAAATTCATTCTTCTTCCATACTGATAGAAGTGCTCACGTATTTTCCTCATTGAATGCAAGTCTCACATCCAGCTCAGGTGTCCATATAGAAGCAAACAAATGAGGCTCGCAAACCTTGTATTGTTTTCATTGCACATGCGGCATACAAATACTGGCATATAGAGGGAGAGTATAATTGCACTAAGGTTTTTAAACCCAGTGAAACATGAATCGGTAATAATATTCATGCTTAAGCATGCATTTCCATTCATTCTGAGTTAGAGGCATCCAAGGACTGAATATATAATAACTCTCGCGTGAAGTAGGGCTGTTAATGAAACTTCATACGAAGCACCAACAAAAAAAATTCTTTTTAATTAACTTTCAGTACAACTGAGCGAATGTTTTCTGCCCGAACCCATGTTCGGGCAATGGGTGATATATGATATGAGACACGATTTCCAGTGTCTCTCTATAAAATCCACAAAAGGTAATCAAAACGCAAAAAATTGTCACCATGAATGGTAACACTACATGAATATGCCCTAAAATTTGTTTTGGAGATAACGGCAATTTGGATATAATGTTCGACGGCGAATGAATTGACACGCACTTCTCATCAAGTCAGAACTCTCAATTTATTTTACATTCATTACGATGGCTGTAATTCGTTGGTGGATCTTCATTCAAGTTTAATTAGTCTAGTCATAAGTTGTGTAAAATATTTGTGAGGATATTTAACAATTTACCTGAAAGGGAAAAACTTCCGCCAATGAATTTATTTTTCGTCGAAAAAGTAAAGGCAATTGTGGTTCAAGATTTTGTCATTGGCAGTAATGACGACAAGTAATCATTTGCGACATAAGTCCTCAGACTGAGATGCCGCCATTTGCAAGACAACATATACATATATAGGGCTGTGCAGGGCTAGAAAAGTTTTGCTTGCTGACCAATATTGCAATGACTATTTCTAAATGGTTTAAATTGAGTTTTTAACATATCAACTTACTCCCACATATAATTATTTATACTAATTTCAATTTTGTATGACAATTCAAACTTTTCTGTGACCCGTTTTTTCCGAACAAATTGCAGATATTGATTATAAAGGCAGAAATGAAGTCACAATCTGCGTTTTGAACAAAATTTTTAGGCGAGTGATTTCACGTGACTGCTTCATTTTCATCTAATCGTCAAGTAACAAAATGCAAGACGAATATTATGCACTCTAAGAAACGTTCAAAATTAAAAAGATGTGATGTTGCATATATAAAGGGTCCATCTTATTATATTGCCAAATGAAAATTTCGAAAGTCATTAAGCGTTTCAAAAGAAGCAAATTCAATTATTCATCTTGGAAGTTTGAAGAACTTGTTCATGTCAGGGAATGTGATTTTCTGATCAAATTAAACTTCCACGACTGAGTAAGAAAAATCATTCCGTTAGCATAACGCTGTTTAAGATATAATTATTAAATGTTTTTTTTATTGAAACTTCTCATAGAATAAAACATTTGTCTTCTTGACGTGATGAAATTAGACGGACGCGACCTTTATAATTGTGCAGTGACACAAGTGACTTGATATACATGTGTGTGTAGTGACACAGGTGACTTATACAGGAGTGTGTAGTGACACAAGTGACTTATACAGGTGTGTGTAGTGACACAAGTGACTTATACAGGTGTGTGTAGTGACACAGGTGACTTATACAGGTGTGTGTAGTGACATAGGTGCCTTATACAGGTGTGTGTAGTGACACAGGTGACTTATACAGGAGTGTGTAGTGACACATCAGGTGTGTGTAGTGACATAGGTGCCTTATACAGGTGTGTGTTGTGACACAGGTGACTTATACAGGTGTGTGTAGTGACATAGGTGCCTTATACATGAGTATGGAGTGACATAGGTGACTAATACATGTGTGTGTAGTGATGCAGGTGACTTATACATGTGTGTTAGTGACACAGGTGACTAATACATGCGTGTGCAGTGATGCAGGAGCCATGTATGCTTGTGAAAATTGATCTACCTCATTGTGAATCAAAGTTCATTGATCTACCTCATTGAAATGAACTTTGATCTACCTCATTCAGTGCGCTCGCCTGTAATTTCACGTTGATCCGATACAATAAGAATCCGCTCGCAAATTTCCGTATACACAATGCAATACCAACAAGTTTTAGGGATGTGGGACGAACGCTTTCTTTCCTGAACTTTTCGCTATCCAGTACCGCTGGTGGGAGGCGCTTGGTAGCCGTTGAAGGAGGTGCTCTCAGCATGACCTAGGGTTTATGTCCACGCGCTAACTCTGGGACCATGACACCAGATACATAAGACATATATGTCCACAAAACGGATGCTGTAGAGCGGGTTGCGTTTGTAAAGACATGTTGCGAGCAAGGAAAGGCTTTGTCTTGAGACAGGCCGGTGTCTGACAGGCCCGTGTCAGGCTACTCAGGAAAAATCGAGGAAGCGGAGAGATCCTTAGCAGTCTCAATACCGTTGCCCATATATGACATAATCACAAGTTTCATAAACATAAGATGTAAGTGACTGTTGTCATAAAATTGCTGGAAAGTATTATAGCGTATATCATTTAAATTCATATATTCTTTTAAATTATCAGAATATATCAAATTATTTATATTCTTGGTTAAATATCATGACGTAATCCTACATGTATTGATGAGATAACTGTTTTTTTTAGCGATTGATTCCGTTCGATTAATTACCAGTGATATACACCCGTTTGAATAATTTCACGAGCTAAACAATACAATAAACGCGAGTAAATAATAGTCAAGCGAAAAATTACAATTATCGCAGATAATTTAAAAAATATAACTCAGTACTCACTGCAGTGAGTGACAGAGAGCGAATTTTCTCGTCGACGAAAACTTGAGGTGACAGACGGACGGACGGACAGACAGACAGACAGACGGACATAACGAGCACAATAGTGCATTTTTCCATAAATGAGAAAATGCGCTAAAAATGCACGAAGTTTGACTCAAATACTACGATTGCTTTAAGCCAGGTAAGCGAAAAATTACAATTATCGCAGATAATTAAAAAAATATAACTCAGTACTCACTGTAGTGAGTGACAGAGAGCGAATTTTCTCGTCGACGAAAACTTGAGGTCATGGACGGACGGACGAACAGACAGACAGACAGACGGACATAACGAGCACAATAGTACATTTTTCCATGAATGAGAAAATGCGCTAAAAATGCACGAAGTTTGACTCAAATACTACGATTGCTTTAAGCCAGGGTGGAAATATAGCATTCGCGACTATAATCACGCAATGGATAAATTTGAAGCAAGAAATTTGAGCAACGAGTTTCGCTTATTTATTTATCGTGTTGAGCAAGGACATAAAATTATTCTTCTTAATTTGGATGATTTCGTGACGTCATATAAGGCGAGGTCCACTCGAGAGATCGTGCAAACAATTACAGAGAGCGAAGCTTGCGTCACAGCCAACACACTCGACGGCCAAACTCGAGATGTATCAAACATTAACTCATTCGAGACTGTAATTAATAATTAGGTGCCCGTATTTTGATCTTGGAGTCAGAATTTTGCTGCTGGCAAATATCTCTCCTTATTTACTTGTGTTGCTAAGTAGATCAAGCGGAGGGTATCGGACCAGGCACATATTTCACGCGGCTCGGCTTGTGCTTCGCTCAAGATGCAAAACTTTGGGATGTTTCCATTTGAACGAGAAATTTCTTGAGCTTAGTGTATGAACGGCATGCGTTTTCTGAGCTTGTATGCGAATAACCGCAATAAATTAATATGTTATTTATTTTAGGAGGATAATGCTAAATAGAAATTGATTACAACATAATTGCAGAGCTAGAGATGATATTTTAGATAATACTACTGCCCTGAAATTAGTTTCAATAAAGTAATATATGTTTGTTCCTTCAATCTTAAGAGCCTGAGTAGTAAACACAATGACGAATTAATGGAGTGGAAATACGTAGTGAAAGTGGATACTTTCTGAGTAGCGGAAATGGGAAGGTCAATTGTTAT